TTAATTACACCTGGGAAGTTTCCAAAGCTTACTCAAACTGCAAACTCTTCAACCTGCACACCCCCCCCAAATCTGAATTCTTTTTAGCAAATCTAAAAATGGCTATCACAGGGTTGCCTTTTCTTTCTCTAGGATGTTTGTATCATGACATGAGGTGACAAGGTGGCAATTTCTTTTAACCATTAGTTTCTCTAAGCACTTTTTCAGGAAGCCTTCAGAAAGTATCTGAAAAAATTTTACTTTCACATTGTTAAATATTTGCTTGAAGTCTAAAGAACTTAATTTTTTTAAAAGGTTTCTCTCTGATCTCCTAGATCTGGCAATATCTTCATGTATTTAAGCATTTATCAGAATAACATGTGGGTATTGACCCCAAACAGGATGTTAACACTGGAACATAGAGTGTCTAGCTGAAGCTGTATAAATAAATAGAGCTATCAAAACAAGTAATAGTCCAAATGAACTGCCTGGAAACATTGAACAAAATTGATCTGTACGACTTTTGTTCATATGCCCATGGTGGATTGCTTATGGTGTAACAGAGGGCAGAATTTCACCAGCGAAGCTGCTTTGGTATCACTGACTTTATGCAAGTAACATAAACAAGTTCTTACACCAACCTTCAACTGGATTAGGTCATGGGGTGCATTGGTGATGAGATAGAAGCAAATGTAACAGAGGATCTGAATTCTGAAATCTCTGGGCGTCTGACCCCCAAAAGAAGGGCATTATCTTATCTCCCCACCGTCTGTGCCTCTGCCAAACAACCCAAGAAGTCTCACCTAAGTGGTGCTTTGCTCATGCATTCATGCACACGTGCATTCATTATGACTGACCTGCCCTAGGAAGGTCCATTAAAGGGAACTCATTTCAAGCACAGATGGTCCTGAATAGCTTAATGTCTGCCTGGTGGCCAGAATAAGTGAATTCTTGATGGCCTTAGACTTCTGATCACATACATGCAGCCAAGGAGGAAATGAAAACATGTTTATCATTTTGATAAACAGCCTCGCTCATTGCTGCAGGATGCTCCATGTAACTCAGCAGAGTCAAATACTATTAAATTGTCATCACTGTCAAAGGGAGAACGTATAAGTTTTGCTACCTGAGTCATAGTTAATGACTTCCACAATGTATAACACAAATCAGTACTGCTGTTTGCCTTTTTTATGTTTGTTTACTGATATGCTCAGGCTTGGCGAGAATACAGAGGCAAGTTATAATTTTGAAGTGCAAAATATGCTTTTATTATTACCTCTCAGCTAGAGATATAAAAACCAGAGATGACTAGAAGATGGCTTTTTGGCTTCTGCCAGGCATGCACTCAGACCCTATAGGTGATTAGATATTTTAAATCACAGCCACCCACAGTAGGCTCATACTTATGATAAAATACTTCATTCTGCAGTTTGTAAACTCAAGGTGACTTTATAACAGAGACAAAAATGAGCATGATTTCAGGAGTTTATTGTCCTCTGATTAGAACTAAACCATTTTCAGGAGCAGCAATCAGTTATTCCTGTTTTACAATAAGAATGATGTATAATTCTGCAATTTTGTATTTTAAGCCTACGCAGAGAAAGAGTTCCAGAAGGATAGGAAGTAGGAGCAGGATCATAATGCCACAGATGATTGCCATCTTCAACAGCCCAGAATCCTGCCCAGCAGCCAGTTCTGTCCCTCTTGCTTTGGTAGGCATCACATTTCCTTCATGGAAAGCTGAGGGCATCCTGTGCACTGAGTGCTCAGAAAGGATCAGCTGTTCTTACTAGCAGGTCCTGCTAATATTTGGTGGGAAGGGAGGATATAAGTCGTATTAGGATGTTTTCATTCATCTCTGGAGCTTTCTGAAGAAAGAGCAAAGCTATTCTTGATTTGCAAGTTCCTATTCAATTTCTAATCTTTTTGTGATTTTCTCAGGGCAAGAGGAAATTAAAAACAAAACAAAACAGAACAAAAAACCCACCACACATAACCTGTTTTTCTTGCCAGGTGGATAAAGCAGCCACTTCATGAAATGTAACTGTCAACAAAACATTCAGAAGACACTTATTTAGAGGATTTTAGGGCCCTTTCCTCTCCTTTTAAGATCAGTGGCAAATCCCCTCTTGACTTGAAAGAGTTGGATGAGGCTGTTATTGTGGAAACAAAGCCAGAAGCTACCTTAGCTCAATAGACCATAAACTTCACAAAAAAAAAAAAAGACATTTATGTTCTTTGTGACAAGAATTCAAACTTTTACTGCATTCACAGCCTATGAGGTCAATAATTCCCATTTTTCAGGACTCCCAGCAGCATAACTTCTTGCCAGGTCTTCCCATAGTCTAAAGAACCACTGAGAAAAAAATACCTGTCTCAGGAGGAAAGAAATACTAGTATCCTAAGATACTAGTATTACAGCATTTCTTGGCAGTCTTCCTCCCCTCAGCCTGTAAAAAAAGAAAATCGGAAATAAAAAAGTAAAATCACACAATAAAAAGATACTTCACATATGTTTTAATGGAAAAATCTGATCACACATAACCAATTTTCCAGGAAAAAAGGATGTGTAACACGTAGAACTTTCCTAATGTGAGATGGATTTTTTCTTCAGTGCTGGGAAAGGTGGTATTATTATTATTATTATTATTATTATTGCAGTTATAGTCCATGCAGATAAAAGTTCCAATTAATGCACTTAATGTCTAGTGGTAAAAAAAAAATGTTTTTTCATTATTTTTATGGTTTCATTATATTTTGCCACTCCTAAACAATGACATTTTGAGTTAAATTCTCTATTGCTGCAGCAACTTGAGCTTCTACATAACAATTAAAGGTGTTGTAAAGCTCGTCTACCAAAACCTATTATTTTGAATAGATAACCAAATAAGCAAGACTAGCTCATGTGGTTATTAGTACTTGTACAGCAAATTAATAGAGAAAATTAAGCATTTAGCTTATTCACAGTTATTTACCACAGAGTTTATGTAGTCTAAAATTAGAAATGTTTATTACCACGTACATTATCTTTATTGTTGAGGTTGCAATCAATAAAATCACAAATCTTTCTTCTCTTAGGGCATGACCGTAAGACAAATTAAACCAATGAGAATCTTTTCATTGCTTTCATTATGGTTTGGATGGGGGAACAGGGAGTTTATCTGAAGAATTACTTCATAAAAAAAATACAAGCATTTGGGGCTGCATTGCTTGTCACAATTCCTCTTGCTCCTAAGAGACATTTAAAAGACCATTTTTCAGATGATGACTTTCTGAATTGTTGGGATCTCTCTTCTGTGGCACCTATTGGCTTTCAAAAAGCTTGTGTCAGCAGGCCAAATGCACCTAATAACCAATACCTGAAGCAGCATTTCTCTCCAGATGAGTTAAATATTTCCTGCAGAGTTAGTCTTGTCTTGTGCTTGCAAACTCATCAGTGCTCAACCCCATGACCATGCAGCCTAAGCTCATTCACTTCAATGGGCGTTCACAGGCTTTCACCCACTGACTCACCCTGGAAGGTCAGTGGTTTGAAAATCTAATAGGATAAAACATTTCCACACTTTGTGGAGTCCCTGTTCGTTGGTAGTTGTTGTAACAGCTAATACTGTGGGTATGTGAAGGGAGAGTCCTCCCTGCCCACCTACCCTATTGCTTCTCTACAGAAATGTCAAGGAAGATGCCACTGAATTCAGAGACCCCTTTCCAAAATCTCTTGTGCACAGCCCCATGTGGATCAGCCTCTCCACTGCTTATTCTCCTACCTGGCTGCAGGGTTACTATAGTGTTCAAAAGCTCTCAAAGTTGTTTCAAAAAGAGTGAAAGCCTAAGATAGGAATAATGGTTTTTTTATGCTATAGTAAAAGCAATGTGCAGGTTTGCATTTCATAGTGGCATAAAGTAATAATGTTTTTCTAGCAAATCAAGCAAACCTCGTTACACATCCTGCTCTTCAGTAGGCTGTGCACGATGTTTTGTGCTAAGTTTAAACAAATCCTGCCAAATTTATGCTGCAGTTTCATAAAGTAGCCAAATATCTGTGGGGAACAGACTGGCCCTATTAAATAGTTGGTGATTATGAGCTAAACACAATCTGAACTGAGGAAACAAGAAATGACTCGGGCAGTGCATTAGCCCACTGTGGTGTCTCATTTCCTTGCACTGCACTGCTAAGGTGAATGGGAATAATACACTTGACACTTCATTTCTGTGTGTAGCATATGCCACAAATTCCAAGTATTCACAAACCACCATCTTAAGCCACCGTCTCTCTGCCAGTTGCTTCTTTCTGTTCTCCACCTAGTCAAATTATTGCAAGTGTTCATAAAGAACAATTAGGGAGAAAAAAAATTAAGCCTGGTGATCTTACAGACAGTAGGGATGTTTTCTGCCCTTAAAACTGCCAATTTAGGGAGTGGAGTAGCAAAGGGAAGTGCTGTTGGACCATCCTCTAATTTGCAGAAGGTGATTGTCATCTAAGGGTGGAATCAAATATTTGGAGAAAAAGGCTGTTTCTAGATGGATTCCCTTAGCCCCTGTCCTTGTACAAGAGAATATTTTGGGGGAAGAGGCTTCTACTATTACAAGCATAAAATCAGCCAGCCACTGTTGCACATTTACTGCAGTGTGTTACCTACGTTTCTTCAGGCCCAGACATTGACACAGTCATTTTTTAGGTCAAATAATTCTGATGATGTCGGAGAAGCTTCTAATATAAGACAGACAAGCTGTATCTACTGTAGAGGGACATTTCTCTGCAGTTCATATTAAAACTGGAGTGTAGGAGCATGTACAATGGGAAAAATAACATTGTGATCCCACCTGTATAGAAGCTGTGTGCAGACAGGAGCATGCCTGGGTGCTTTGATTAGCCACTGCTGCTCTTCCTAATCAGAGTGTCAATATTCTCTTTTTCTTTTTTTTTCTTTTTTTTTTCTCTTTTTTTCTTTTTTTTTCTTTTTTTCTTTTTTTTTTTTTTTTTTTTTTTTTGCTTCTTTTTTTTTTTCTTTTTTTTTTGCCAGAAGGAGGAACGTGTGAAGTTATAGCAGCACACAGATGCTGTAATAAGAATCGAATTGAGGAAAGATCACAAACAGTAAAATGCTCCTGTCTACCTGGGAAAGTGGCTGGGACTACAAGAAACAGACCTTCCTGTGTCGATGGCAAGTAGCTCCTCCTGTATATATGTCTCTCTTTGTGTACCTTCCACTAAATAGCTTTAATTCTATAGATGATGCATAGGAGCTTTGCTGTGTTTTCTATTTAACAAACCAGAAGAATCTGTAAGGCTGAGTGTGCATTCACACCACCTTGCCTGCTACTTCAGTGCATGGTTCTGTGCACATGGGTCACATTAAGAGTTACTCAAAAAGTGAGAGTATATCAATTCAGCACAGGCACTTGGATAAGTGTAACAGACTCTGTGGCAGGATCAAGCCCTTAATAAATAACTGGACAAAAATATCCCTTGAGTCATTTCACAGAGACCCCCCAGTGCCACGTTAGTTTTGATTCATAAGTATTTTGAAGGACAACCACCATTCATTTTGATTTCATTAGCCATTTGGAAAGTCAGTGGCAAGTAAGATAAATAAATGAATCCTGTGCTCTTGTCCTGTAACAAACATTATAGAAAGCTAGGCAAAAAATCTTTCTCTTTTGAAATCACTGGTGCCATTTCTCATCATGGGGATTTTTTTCTGCTAAAGGAAAAAAAAACATGATATTTGTGTCTGGGTTTCCTATCAGGTCTAGCTAGTATGTGTTCCTTTCTTGGGCTCCCTTGCCACTGCTGCAAGGTGAAACCATGCAGCAACTGGGGAGAAAGCCACAGCCTGGAAGTGCTTAGCAAAATGTAAATCACTTAAGAAGACGTGAGTAAGTAAGTAGTGCTAATCCCATTAGTTACCCTTCCCAAACAAGCTGCTCTGTGTTGCAGGATCCCTTCTCTGCAGCAGCTTTGTGAAACAGTATCTCATAAAAATTCCTTGCTCTTTTTTATGGTAAATCCTGGTGCCATTGTTTCTACCACCCCCCAGCCCTAAGGTGCTTCAAAGAGCCAAGGGTTGTTTTGGCTAGGGTCAAGGTGGGCTTGGCCCTGGGCTCTCCTCATCCTTCCTATGGCTGGACTTCCAGGGCTGGCAGCATAGCTCCTGGTTTTGGAAGCACCCAACGTTTCCTCTTTGGGTTTGTTTGGCATTGAGCTTCCCCCCAAGTGAATGAGGGGAGGAGCTGTACAAGCAGACACTGGGAAAAATGGTTTCTTCTGGGGTCCTTTCCTCAATCAGATGCCACAAAGGCTCCAGCAAGGGAGCAGGGGCTGACCCAGTTGTAGTCCAAAGTTAGACAGGAGTATCAGTGGACATTGTGGACTTGGGGATTGTGTAGACAAAGCTCTGATACTTGCACATTAAAAGATGAGAGTTTGGTGGTGCCTTGAAAGATTGGGGGGTGCCCTGGAGGGATGAGAACCTCATGTTTTCTCAGCGAGTATTTGTGGTGTCTATTTATCTTGTTTATATATTAAAGGTAGAAAGAAATATTTTATTCTTTCAAAAACACATTCAAATTTTTTAATTATGAGGTATTATTTTGTAGCTTGTTACATAGGGAATGTGATTCAGCTTCTGAACTTGTGACAAAAAACACACTGTGAAAGCACCTGTGAATGATTTTTCACTAATCCACATTCTCTCATTCTGTATTGCTTAATTACCCTGATAAAAAGAAGCTTTTCTTTTTTTGTTAAGAACACTCATAAAGCCATAGGCGAAATCTACATCTGGTCTTAGCCAAAGATCAGCTGTACAAGCCTTGAAGAGTTTCACGTTTTTCAACTGGTCATGAAAAACAGAAGCAGCAGATAGAGCAGAAAGACACCATATAGATCTCATAATTCTGCTCAGAGAAGAGGAGCTCAAAGCCTGCTGTGCTGAGAACAAAAGTCGGGGGCAGGTGTGGACTGGAGCCTAATTGCTCTGTCAGGATTACAATAAAAAGAAATGTTATTGTCTGGAATTTTGAAAGGAGTAAGGATAAAACAATGGCTAATATAAAAGTGCAAAACTAGTCCCATTGAAGTCACTGGTAAGACTCAGAGTGACTTCAAAGCCAGCAGATGTGAACTACAAAAGAATGTCTTCCCCTTTCAAGTTCAGTTGTTGTAGTCAGCCCGTAGCTTCTTTTGTAGATGGCTGGTGAACGGTTCAAAAGCCCAATATGCTGCTCATAAAAATTAATAGAAGGGACATTTTCTTTGGCCTTTGTTTTATCCTAGACTTTGCCTTGTGGCTTTTGACATACTGACCTGTTTTAAATCAAAACTTTGACCTATTTAGTAGTTCTGCTCTTGCTAAGGCAAACTCCCAGAACTTCTCATGGGAGTCCCATTGACGTCAGTACTTTAACTCACACAAAGATTTGGGATTTGCTGTTTCTTTGGGACATAAGGACATTTCAAAAGGTCATCTGCAACTTTTTACCTTCTTTACCTACCCTATTGAAAGGATTAAGACTGCTTAATCTCATACTGTGTACAATCTCAAGCCATAATCTGTCACCAAAAAAGCTTGTTTGGGTTCATTAATCAGAAATCTGTGGGTGTTCAGCTACAACAGTGTACTCACACCCAAACAGACTGATCACCTTTCAGAGGTGAAAAGGACTGGGATATCCTGTGTTAGCAGTTTGACTCCTGTCTGTGGTTGATTATTGCCTTGAGCCATCTCCACCTCATGGCTACTTAGTAGTGTGTATAAAACAAGCTGAACCTCAGTCTTGCCGTGTTTATACCGGTGACCAAACCGTGACTTAATGGGATCAGAATCAAGCTTTTGGTGTTTCTCCAAAAAAAAAGCATTTCATCAAGGCTGATGCTTTGAGAGGTTGAGTTCCTGTTACAGAGGAAAGATTGTATTGCCTTCCACCCCTACCAGCCAGTGCTCCAGAACACAGCTGGGCTTTGTGGGTGGGATTGTGTGGAGAGCTAGCTTTGTTTCCTGTTTTAGAGAGAACACAATCACACACAGGAGTAATTTAACTTTAATAAAGTATCAGGGGTGATAAATGGTCCTTTTGTCCTCTTATGAGATCTCATCATGGGTAGCACACCATCATAGTACACAGAACTCGTGTACTCAGTCCACATCCTTATAGAACTGAGATTCAGGCTGAGTACAAGTTGTTTGTGCTACAAGGGATGGGAAGTTGCCATGTATTCCCAAGCATCACTTCTTGCCACGTGCTGCAAACTTTTCTTTGAGGTTTCATTTTAAAAAAGTATAGTGAGGCCAGGCTGTGGCAGCCTCAGACATTATAAATTATTCCTTGCTGTTCATTCAGTAAATACTGTCCTACAACCTGCCTCAGTCACCAATGAATTATGTAGTAGCAACAGTGAGAGCAAAACAAAAGCCAAATCTTGTCATGAAACAGAGATGCCAGTTTCTGTTTCTTTTTGCCTCTTCTGTTGCACATTTACTTTCATGATTCCCTGTACTTCAAGGTCTTTTTGGTTCTTTTATTTTTTTTGAAGGATGGTTTTGAATGCCTCCCTTCCCTCCCTATCATTTATCTTCTGTGCTACTTGGCAGTAGCACATACCAGGGGTATCAGTCTGTTCAGCTCTCTGTCAGGGCTGTTATTATTTTCTCCATTTTCCCAAATACCTCTCCAGAGCAAGTACCACATAGATTTATTTCATTTGTGTTACAGCAGCTTGAGAGGGTCCCTTTTTCTGGAGAAAGCAGTGGCAAGCATGTCCAGGGAGTTCAAAGCCCCAGCACAAACAGCTGGGATTTGTCCCCCTGCTAGCTGTTGCTAGTACTACTTCTCCTGCAGGCTGAGGTTTTATTCCTTTGTCTTTGTTAACCAATTTCTTCTGTTGGTACTGTGGTTATTAAAAGATATTCCCAGTAATGTCCTCAGCTTCTTAATAGCAGTGCTTCTTGCATCTTCCTGGTGTGGTCAGTGGGCACATGATGCTTGTCCTTTCATGGGTCAATCCCATATCCTTCAGAAAATCTGTTCACCTCTATGAGTAAAGATCAGTTGGTCCCTACAAAATTTTAGTTGATTTTTTTCTTAATTTTCTGTTACTCCACAAAAAAAACCAACTCATATATGTTTTTTTTTTAAAGTTGATGTTTATCTTTTTTAGAATTTTTCACCATTCCCAGTACACCTCTTACATTAAGTGGGGCCAAGATTTCTTCTACTATTCATGCATAATGTGGAGGTATTCTTAACCTTGTTCATCACTTCATCAGAGCTTTCTTTTCCTGCCCCATCTTCCTTCTCAGAATGGAATGCACTAAGCATACTGAAACCATGATGAAAGAATGTGACTTTTAAGTACCTTTAAAATTGCTGTTTGAACCTTTCCTAGATGTACTAAGCATATTCTCAAAATATTTAGATATTGAGAGATTTGCATTTTGCTTTTGCTCTCTTACAACCCAAGACAGTTCAAATAAATGGCTGTGGGCTGCTCCAGGTTTGGTGGTTCTGTGATACCATGGCATCATAACTTAAAAATAACTTTACTGTGACAGAATCAAACGTAAAGGTTATATATATATGACATATATATACCATATATATGTCATATTTGGTTCAGGATTGTCATGTCCACCTCTCATTCTTCATTGGTCTAATCTACAGGCAAAATTGATGTCAGCTTTTTGAATAGGCTGAGGTTTACTTCTGCTGTTTGAGTAAAGTTGGCTGTGTGAGCTAGCAAGAAACAATGAGCAAGTGGCAGCAGTGAACTGGTCACATCTTTTTTTTTGTTGTTCTTTCTGGCTTGTCTACACACAATTTGCTGTTTTCCTTGGTTGCTTCCATGAGCAAAACAGTTTTGTGGTCACTTCCTTTACTTTTTCTTTGTTTTGATTCATTGGTGGAGAGTTTCTTTTAAGCAGTTCCTTTTAGTGCTCTGTATAAACAGCATGAATATTTGACTGAACATGGGAGTCTCCACCTCTTCTACACTCTAGTTGATAGCATGCTAAAAGTCTCTTATCTGGAAGTTTCCCATTCCCTGTAAAGATACATGCTTTGACTTTCCACTGCACTGTGGAGCAGCTGCTCACCTTCCTTCCAGGCTATCACTAAACAGGACTGGCCACAAATAGCCAGTATGAAGGAGGTGGGAACAGAGGCC